GAAATTGGCCTTAATGCCTTTCTAGCTCTTCTTATGTTGAAATTTGCTTTTATGATTAAAGTCCTTGTCTTCATACTTTCTCAGTGTTTGCTTTTTTTTTCCCCCCCTCACTTAATAATAAAATGAAAAATGGAGTATGGTACCCATTTTGGAGGAGCAGGAGTCAGGAATAGAACCCAAACACCAATCTGCTTTTTTTTTTTTTTTTTTTTTTTTTTTTTTTTTTTTTTTTTGGTGTTATTGTATAGTGTAGGTGGACTTAAACTGAAAATCCTCCTGTCTCTCAGCCTATGGACTGCTGTGATTTCTGGAATGTTCCACCACCTTATTTTGTTAAAGGAATTTGTTTAAAACATTAAAGCACCATTCATTTCTTTAATTTTTTTCTTTTCTTTTTTTTTTTCTTTTTTTTTTTCTTTTTCTTTTTTTTTTTTGGTGTCTTCCCCCTTCTCCCCGCTTGGTTTTTGTCTCCCTGCTCCAAAAAATGTACATTTGTTCTGAGCCATTTTAGAAAACTAAAGATTCAGTGTGAGTAATTGAGTAAGAATTAGTAATAAGGGATTTTATTGTCCTTGTGTAATCACTAGAAGCAATACATCCTAATATTATGTTTTAAGACTATGGTTTTGACTGTGTTTTGGAAAGTGAATTAGTCTTGAAAATCTAGAAGCAAGAAAAATTGATTAGAAAGCTGTTACACTGAATTTTGATAAAAAAATATTGTGGCTAGAAGTAGGCAATGGACTATATATTAGAAAGAGGTAAATTATGTCATAAGGGTCTCTACTGGAGAATAGTTAGAACTCTTATCTGTTGTGAAAAGTCTATTTCCACTCCTACCTATAAAGTTTCTGCTTGCTGGATACATTTACAATTAGAAGAGACAAAACTATTGTAAAAATTCAGTAATGGTTTAAAGAAATATAATTTCTCACTTAATAATGTTAGCTGATTGTTGCTTACCTCAGTGCACCATTAATATTTAACCATAGCATCAGTTCAAATGGTGACCGTTTCATCCGGTCATCCAGGAAACCTGGTTGGAAGATCTGCCATCTTTTACACATGCCTTCCAAGGCTGTGTAATATGAAAAGAAGTGGATGGTATAAGAAACATGTCTAGAAAAGGCTGTTAGCATGTGTATTCTTGTTCCAGTGGTATGCACTTGGTTGCATGGCCATACCTCATTGCGGTGAGGATAAGAAGTGTGGTGTATGTAGCCAGGCAGCTGCTATAGAAGAAGGGAACCAGTCCTAGAGGACAGCTGTTCTCTACCACAAGTGTTACTGTTTGTTGAGACAGGAAACAGGAAGAGTAAAGCAGTTTGCAGCAGAAGGTAACACCATACTTACTTTTGAAAGTTATGATGTAGGTTCTTAAAGATAGTTACAAACTTGGAAATTTCAGAGTAGACAGGTAGTCTTAGTAAGATGACAGCATCTATTGGGGAAAATGAGTTTTGTTTTTCAATGTATAGCATTATGTTACAGGAATTTAAAAATTATTTCCTTACAAGGTAAAAAGGAATGTGAAAGTATTAAAAAGTATAAAGGCAAAAGAAAAGGAGCATAAGAAAAAGTTTGTACTTACTGTTAAGTAGTTACAGCATGCCAGTCAGTTAAAAGTACATGCAAGTTCTTGCTTGAACAGACTTTTGATATAAGAAGTATCCAAAGGTTAGGTATTATAACTGTAAAAGGCATTTACAGGGTATTCAGAGAAGTTAAAGGCTTTAAATCATTCTACAACTCAAAGTAATGACTATAGGACTCTGGCTATAGTAATAGTGGCAGGGGAATTTTTGATAGGGCAGTTTGGATAGTTGTCTTTGAAAAAGTAAATTGGGACCAAGATCTGAGGGTGAAGAAAGAAAACTTAATGAAGATCCAGATAGGAATATTCCATTAGGAAAAGCTCAGCTACTGGGAAATACCCTGGTGTTTTAAGAGTCTGAAGTTCTGTGGTAGGGTCACAGGAATAAGATCCTCAGTGTACAGGCAGATAATAAGGCTGAGGTAAATTTTATTTACTTATTTGCAGTGGGATATGACCTGATTTTATGTTTTTAAAACAAAATGTTTTTTAAAAGATGGTAGGCAAGGGTACTTTAGAGATGAGGAAGCCAATGACTGTTGAGGTTGTATTCAAGGTGAGTTTGTTGATGGTTCCTGGCTAGCTGTGATGGCATACTGTCTGTCATCTTAGCACCTAGGAGGCTAAGACAGGAAGCCTTTTAAGTCTGAGGAGACCGTGCCCATTCCCCACCTGCAAAAGCAAAGAAAGGTACCTGTGTTGTCTTCCTGCAACAGCTGGGTAGGTAGGTATTAGCAGAATGATCCACATTCTCATGCTTAATTACCTGAAGACTTTTCTTTCTTGTCTCAAAAATACTATAAATATAATGAAAGAAATCACTAAAGGTTTTATTATGTATTGTTGGAGAAATTACGCATTTAAATCTTACTTAGGTATATCGCTTTACATGAATCTTCTGGAATTTCATAGAATGATCTTGTCAAACTTTTAAGATATGTAACATCATAACCAGATCTATCCCACTGAACACACCTGCCCCAAGCTCTGAAATTCCTAGGATTGTTTAGAAGAAAAGCATTGAAATGTGTTATCAAACAAGCAGAAGAAAGAGTATATGACAAAACTAACATTTTAGAAATCCTTAGAAAACGGTTAACTACATTAAATACATGTAATACACTTAGAACTATATTTTGTGTAGTTTTATGTTTAATCATTTGGAGAATTATTCTAAATTTGATAAAGGCAGTAAACCAAACTTAAAGCTAAAAGTGACTGTAATAAATTGCATGGAATTTTATATGTGGCATGTAAACTAATCTTTTGTATTGAGTACTTTTTTAAAATAAAATTTCATTACCCAAATATTTGTAGTTTCTCTAAACTTTCATTATTTTTTAAATTAAAAAAATAGGGATTTACATTAATTTAAATGTTTATTTGAGAGTAGTTTAACCTAGTTTCAATCTTACAACTTAGGCTTCAAGTGCATATAGATAGACCCTTGAAACAATTTAAAAGCTAATCCTCATAAGTTTCCAAGCTTTCTTTCTCCGACCAGCTCATTCACATGTCACCTTATGTTACATTTAAGTGTTCTATTGCACCTCATGTTTTCCTAGGCTTTGTGCTTGGGCTCATGTTCAAGAATGAGTCTTTTGAGTGAAGATAGAAAATATAGGGAGATAAGACAGTGAAATCATGTCATGATGAATTGTTGAGAGAGATTAGATCTTATGCTGGCAGATATTTTGCTGTGCATCGAAGAATTAATGGTAAGTAAGAAGATTGGGAAGGAATTTTAGATTTAAAGGAATTATGCTTAAATAAGAATGATCAAGTCCAGCTTTAGTAGAACAACTAGGGTTTAAAATACCTTTTATTATATGAAGATAATTGATGCCAGAAACTAAGCAAATTTACTAAGGAAATTTACTAAGGAAAGTATACTTAATTTTATTTGCTTCATAGGCATTTTAGCCAGATGTGGTTGTATATGCCTGACTCCCAGCTCTTGGGTATCAGAGGTAGGAAAGTTCCTGGAAACTCAAGACTATCCTGGCTACAAAGCAAATCCCAGACCAGCCAGGGCTAGACAGTGAGACTTTGCCTGAAAATAAAACTAAGCCAAATCAAAAATCCTTAAACTCTTACTTATTAGTTTTCAGTTTGACAAATGTCAACAGAAGTTCTTTTTTTTTTTTTTTTTTTTTTGACTTCGGGAATATTGTGATGCCTAAATTGGTAATTTACAGTATTAATACTCAGATTATTTAGAGAAATTTGGCCAAGTGTGGCAGAGCAGTTGAGATGGATCGTAGGCTTTCTAGAATTTCAGATCTATGGTTGCTAAAAGAAGTTGTTGCTGGATTAAATTGCATGCATTTTTTCTTTGCCCCAAATGAATCTGATCCAGCCCCTCTCAGGTGAATGAATGGGCTTGGAATACAGCCTTTCTGGGGAATTTACTGTCTGTCCTTGTAGTCCTTGTTATTTGGAAGACATCTAAAAGAATAAGGTTTATAACTGGCATAAAAAGATAGTTTCTTTGAAGTCTATACTTTAGCTGTAGGCCCTGATTTTTTAGGATCATCTTCATTCATATAAATCATGTAGGATATTGTTTGATGTTTAGAAATACTGTGCTGTTGAATTTGTACTGTGATGATGGTCAGACTTAACCTTATTATCCACCTTATTATATTGGCTATATATATATATATATATATATATATATATATATATACATATATATATTTTGTAGTTGATATCTACTTTATCTTCACAAACCAAAGTGCATCCAAATATGTTAAATATTTTCAAAGACATGCCTAGTTAAAAACTTTTGCTAGGGGTTAACTGTGGTGGTGCCCACATTGTAATCCTAGCACACAGAGGAAGCAAGAGGATCTCTGTGAGTTCAAGGCCAGCCTGGTCTATACAACAAGACCCTAGCTCATCAGCGAATAAAGAACAAACTTTTGTTAGGGACTTGGGTAGAGCACTTGCCTAGCACATGAGCGGTCTTGGATTCAGTCCTCAGACCCAAAACAAAAGCATTCATTTTGTTAGGTAATCTCAATTTAAAGAGATTGCTGTGTTAGTCCTTTGCCAGGCTCGTGAACCCATTTATGAATTAATCATTTGAAAAGTTCTTACGGAAAGGAAAATCACTACTCAGCATTTGAGTTGATGAATGACTTCTCTTTACCCAAATTGCAGTTAATAGCTAAGTGCTTATTTTTATATTCTCAAATTGAGGGAATTTCTCCTTACTGTTCATGTGTTTTATGATTGTGTATTAAATATCCGAGTTTTAATTATGATTGTAGGATTGCTTTATCTAAAGTAGTATTTCCTAAGAGAATTTTACTACAAATTCTAACTTTAAAGAGTCCTCTCTCTCTCTCTCTCTCTCTCTCTCTCTCTCTCTCTCTCTCTTTCTCTTTCTGTGTCTGGGTAGTCGCCCATATACTAACAAGGTCATTACTTTGTGGTACCGTCCACCTGAATTGCTCTTGGGAGAAGAACGATATACACCAGCTATTGATGTATGGAGCTGTGGGTAAGATAGGCACATTGGCTTATGGTACTAAAAAGTTTTGATAGTGAATTAAAATGAGGAAATTTAGATAATGACAGCTCTGCTTTTCTTTATTAGATGTATCCTTGGTGAACTCTTCACTAAAAAGCCTATATTTCAAGCAAATCAGGAACTTGCACAGCTAGAGCTAATAAGGTAAGCTGCTGGTGATAGTTTTGGTAATGCATAATGTTACTCCACAGAGTATTGAATGCATTTCAAGCTTGTCTCTTCAGGAGAGCAACATGGTTCTCTTGAAGTCTAGTGACTACTAAATGGAGGACAAACTAGAGTGCAGGCTGTCTGATACTTGATCCAGTAAAATTAAGGAACGTAAAAAGTGTGGGGTTTTTTTTTGTTCCTTTGTTTATTCTGGTGTTTTTGTGATGAAGAAATAGATTAAATTACAGAACTTAGTTCCTCATATGACTGAGAAGGTAGGAGACAATGCATGAAAAAATACTTCCTTCTGTGTACACATGGTAAATTTACATGTAACTGTATCTATGTGTACATATCAAAATATATGTGCATATTTATCAACATTTTTTGTAGGCTGTCAGGATATAACTCAAAAGCAGTTAACTCATATACATTAGTCAACTTTCTGTTTATATTGCATTTTAAGAGTATTCTTTTTTTCTATTTTTTCTTTTTGTGGTTTTCTTTTCCTGTCAAAATGGGATTTCATATTCTGGCTCAGGCTGGCTTTGAGATTGCTATGTAGCCCAGGCTGACCTTGAAGTCTTAGATGTTTTCTTACCTTAGCCTCTCTAGCACTTGATTACAGGTGTAAGTCATCTCACCAAGCTTTAAATTCTTTTCTATTTTAAAGGAGTTTGGTTTTCTATATAACAAGGTAAATTTACAACTTAGAAGATTTTCAAGAATAAGGTATTTGGTAGAGAATTTTGAAGGAGACACAATTTACAGCATTTCTCTTTCCTAACTAAACAAATAAATATAAAGCAACAGACATAACCAGAGAAGGATTCCAGATGCCATCTTAGAAATTTGGAAGATAACCATCCAGAAAGAGAACACTTTAATCAAGAAGAAAAATCCAGAGAAAGAACATTCTGCCTTTGGGAAAGTTCATTACAGTATTAGAGTTTGGCTACCCCTTAATTCTTCCCTTAAAAAACAAACAAAAAGGTCCCCAAATTTTAATATTGTTCTTGCCAGTTGTTAAATTAGATTAATTTTTTTCTTTTGCTATAGAGCATAGCAAAAACCCCAAAAAGGTGTGTTAGAACCTCTTTTCTCTGGGGATAACATGTCTACAGTCAGAAGTACCTCAGCCAGAACTAGCATTACTTCAACTCCAGGGCAGCCAGTTCCCTTAGAAAATGGAAGCACATGTCTCATGGGAGTCCAAACATGGAACTTTTAATGAAATTACAAAGAGAGAGGGGCGTCTTGGTCTATTTCCTTTTGTTACTGCCCAAATACCACAGGCTAGAATATATACAGAATAAAAGTTGTTCAGCTCATGATTTTCAAGGCTACCAATTTAGGACTGAGAAGCTGTGGGTAACAAACTCTGCAAAGCCCTAAGATGACATAGGGAGAGACAGACAAAGCTAACCAGAAGCTAGCTTTTCTAATAGAGATGGCTCTGCAGTCACTCATTAATAATGAGTCCTCCTGTCTTTCCCTCCCCCCACCCCCTAGAATTTACACCAATCAAATTCCATTAACATGGGACTTTGATGTTAATTTTCCAACACATGGAATTTAAGGGACACATAAAACCAAAGCAGGGACAGAGTTTACCAGGAACACATCAAACTTTTATTTTTCCTTTTTGGTATGACAGACAAGTGAACTAGAATTAAGAGGACTTGGCACTCCCCCAAATAGGTATACTCTTCATTGCTAATTTGAACTTTTATAAGTGTTAGTTATATTTTAGGATACACCAAAAATGAGAATTCCCGAAGAATTAAATAGAATATATTCTCTAAATAAGGTAAAGTTAGAATGCAAAAATGAAGATTAAATCTGCATTTTAAAAAGAGCAGATGGAATGGGGAGGTGATTCAGTGGGTAAAGACACTTGCCACAAAGCCTAGTGACTTGAGTTTGAACTAGAAGACCAGTGTAATGGAAGGAGAAAACTAATTTCTAAAAGCTGTCTTTTGCACACATCTGCCACAACATGTGGAAATGCCTGCTGAACCGTGCATACACAAATCAGAAGCAGTACATCAAACATAAATATGGCATGGGTTTAAATCTTTGCTTAAAGGAGAAAGTCACAGCCTTCAGTGCAGTTTTGTGCTGTATAATGACATTTAGTTAGCCACAGATTGTATGGACAATGGTGATCCAGTGAAGCTGAAAATTGCTATCAACTAATCAACTAATGCTATCGTAGTTATTTTAGCATGATAGTGCACAGATGGCTTACAGTTTAGGATGCTCACTCTGCTGTGTTAATCATTTGTAACACATAATTGTTGTCTTAGTTAGGGTTTCTATTCCTGTGAAGAGACACCATGGCCATGGCAACTATTATAAAGGAAATCATTTAATTGGCCAACTTACAGTTCAGAGGTTCAGTACATTATCATCATGGTGAGACATGGCAGCATACAGGCAGACATGGTGCTAGAGAAAGACCGGAGAATTCTACATCTTTGATCTGGAGGCAATAGGAAGTGAACTGAACTAGACCTAGCTTGAGCATAGGAGACCTTAAAGCCTGTCCCTACAGTGACACACTTCCACCAACAGGCCACATCCACTTTAACAAGGCCCCATCTCCTAATATTGCCACTCCCTATGGATTTATGAGGACTAATTACATTCAAATTACTACAATCATTAAGTACACAATACTCAGTAGTGATAATAAACTGCCATGTTACTGGCTTATTTACTGTATTTTATTCTGGTTTTTGGTTTTTCAAGACAGGGTTTCTCTGTAGCTTTGGAGCCTATCCTGGCACTTGCTCTGGAGACCAGGGTGGCCTCGAACTCACAGAGATCCGCCTGCCTCTGCCTCCTGAGTGCTGGGATTAAAGGCGTGCGCCACCAATGCCCGGCTGTATTTTATTCTTTATTGTTATTCTCATCTGTACTTGAACTTAAAAAATAAGTTTATTGTAAAACAGTATGCCATATTACTGGCTGCAGCCTTATATACCGCCTCTTTTGATTGTATCAAGAAGCCACATCAAGTGATAACCTTTACCAACTAGATTTGTTTAAGGCACCCGCTGATGTTCATATGATAACAGAGTCACACAGCAATACAGTTCTCAGGACATATCCCAGTTGTTAAGCAACTCAACTACTGTATTGTGTAAGTGAGAAAATGAAAACTACTGAAGTGAGCATTCAGGTGGCAAACTGGAGCAGCAAAATAAAATCAGGGACTAACAAGTACTTAATGAGCACAATACAGAAAAATGTAGAACTTTATGTATAAACCCAAGATTTCATTTTGAGATTATTTACACATATGTACTATATAAATTAATCTTATAAATTAGTGTGAAATGAAGTGAAATGAAGACTTTGATAGAGAAACTTACCTCAGATATAAAGAAAATAAAAACTATTGAGATCATTTAATTCACAAAAAAATAACCCTAAAACATATTAGAAAGCCCTAAACATGGCTGGAGAGATGGTTCAGCGGTTAAGAGCACTGGCTAATCTTCCAGAGGACCTGAGTTCAATTTCCCAGCAACTGCATTTTCTCTTACAGCTACCTGTGATATGATCTGATGTCCTCTTCTGGAATAATGGTGTACATTCAGATAGAACATTCATATACATAAAATAAATAAATCTTAAAGAAAGCTCTAAATATATAAAATAGCATTATTAAAGTATTATTTTGAAGAATCAGACTTGTGCATGTTAGTGGGAAATTCTTGGAAGTATTTCAAAAGCCATTTTCTTAATACTTCTTTGTATTTATTTTTAATCAAAATAAAATAGGCATACTTTATTTTTCATTAATAGGCTTTAAAGGGCTTTTTAAAATGGCAGTTTATTTCTTAAAAGTATTCTTTTATGTTTATTTTTATTTTTAAGTATGTGGGGTTTTGTACATGTGTGTTGATTCTGATGTTAAATATTTATAAAAGTTCAAGATTTGGTTCTATAACATTAAAAAAAAACTTAAGGAAATAAAATAACTTCCTTAGAAGTGTGAGTGTATCAGACAGCAAAAGTATACTGAAAGGTTGTGGGCCTTTGAGTCCTGTAGACCCGAGGTCAGATATCACCCCTTTAACTGTGATGTGAGTGAGTTGTGTGAGCTGTGAATTTGACTCTTCACAGTTAGAATAGTACTATAACATGCCTAGAGAGGTAGGGAATGAACTCCTTGCATGTTGTGTCATGTGATTATTTCTTCAGTCAGAAGCTGAGGTATGTGCTGAAGTGTTGATGGCCAGACTAAATATGAAAAACTGATGAAGTAGCAATACTAATAAAAATCTGCTTTAAAGACTTACACTGCAATGACTGATTTATTTATAATTTGCTTTGTCCAAGAAAGTTAAGCTGGGGGTGTAGCTCAGTGGTAGGATACCCTAGTTTCAACTTGTAATAGTAGTAAATTTAAAATAAAACATAATATGCAGATATTTTCATATTATATATGTAAATATTTTAGGCAAATGGTAGGTCTGCACTAGAGATAGAAGTGATGAAAAAAGGATGGAAAACCCTGGTGGCAGCAAAATGGGGTGAATGGGAACACAATGTTTCTATGTGGACATAGACTAAGGTTTACGCTTTTTTTTGTCTGGTTATTTCGAGACTGAATCTCTCACCATGTAGCTCTGACTGTCCTAGAACTCTGCTTTGTGGCCAAACTGGCCTTGAACTCAGAGATGCCCAAGTGCTGGGATTAAAGGCATGTGCCACCATGTCCACTAAAGGTTCACACTTTTAGACTGTTGTATGAGTGCAAATTTTAAGACTACATTGCTTGGAAATAAAGAAATTTCCCCATTCTGGGCATAGTGGCGCATGCCTTTAATCTTAACCACCAGACTGTTTTTTCCAGCCTCTGGACCTCACTTTTGAGAATGTTTTTTCAAAACATTAAAAATAACAAGTGGAAAACAAGCCATTATAAACTGTTAAAATGTCACAGTCCCTTTATTAAGCTTGAGTAATAATCTTCCTTTGAATGTAAGAATGAATGCATATTAGAAAATCTTTTAATGTAATTTGTGGCACTAATAATTCTAGAAAGAAATACAGGTAATAACTGTAGAGCTTCTAAAATTCAGACTGACAAAATTTTAAAAGCCACAAAAATGAAAAACTAAAAAGATGTAAATGAACAAGAACACATACACGCACGCACGCACGCACGCACTACATTTTTAGCAATTCTCAAACATTGCTATAATGCTGATGGTACATTATAAGGCATTTTTGATCTCTAGTTTTAATAGGATGCTTTGAATTTAATCTCTTGGAAAGCTGGTGGATTTTGGTTTGAGAAACACAGGATACACATCAAAATATATTCACAAACATAGATGAAAATTCCCAGGTATCTATTATTAAGAAGGCATTCACTGAGCCAGCTGTGGTGGGTGGTACAGTCTTGAATACCAGTACTGGAGAGGCAGAGGCAGGTAGATCTGATCTCTTAAGTACAGATTGCCTGGTCTACTTAAGCTCCAGGCCAGCCTGTGCTGAAAAGTAAGTCTCTGCCTGGGTGTGTATGTGGTAAATCTGTAAAGCTTCAATTTTGACCCTTCCCTGTATATTTCCAGATTAACTTAGAAAATGCAGTGGGCTAAAAACATTCAAAAGAAAAAACATTAAAGCTATTAATAGCAAACACAAAGTCTTATTGCAAAATAGACATAGAACTGAGGGAAATAAATTATTGCCAGGATAAAAAAATGTAAAGCTTTTAAGTTTAGAACATCAAGATTCTAATGTCTTGTGTGCTGCTTTAGTACTTACTTTCCAACAGTGCACATATGAAACAATTGAAACTGTAGCTTATGTTCATGTGAGTGTTAATAGGCAGGTGTTTCTCTCTGCCTGTTAACATATTTCTCTTAACTCTCTCCCACCTGGCTGTGTTTTATCCTTGGAACTATGACCAAAAGTCTTCTTCATCTTTTCTCTCACTTAAATTTTCTTTAACATCAGCAGTTGAAAGTGCCCTTCATTTCTTTATTCAATTATACTCTATTATTAATGTGCTTGGGACCAAGAGAAACACAGCTAGGCATATAATCAGAGCACAAAGGATGAAACCAGTGCTAAAGAAACAAATAGCATGTGGAAGAATGTCCATTTTGCATAGCCTTTGGGAAGAGAAGAACTTTTTCGGTAGACTGTGATGAGGGAAGAGCTGCTTAGAATCTAGGAAGAAATATATTCGGGGAAAAATGAAGGAGCAGTCTGTGGGGTAAAGGTTCATTCTGAGAAGGGGGATGAGCTTCATATGACTGAGACTGCTCTTGGGAACCTGTCAGAGTGTATTCGATGGGAGTCCAACATTTCTTAAAAGTTTGAGGAGGTTTTGAAAATTGGTTTTTAAGCAGAAGAGACTAGACAGAAAATAAGGCATTAGTGGTTACAGTGATGGACCCACATTTTTTTTAAATAACATGTTAAGCCTTACTGACAGTTTTACTGATGATATACATATATTCTTGCAATTTTTATATATTAAAGCCTATTTCCCCAGTATGATTACTTGTATGTGTATACTACACTATTGAGGAATTTCAAGGCAGTCAAAGAGTAGATCATTTAAAATAAATATATAAATACCTGTGACCAGTAACACTGCTGAAACTGCAGAACTGTATATTTCTAGATGACTAGTTGTTGGGGTTGGGTAGGAAGTCTGTTTTTGCTGTTAATACCAGGCTCCTTTATGTTTATGAGAGAAGACCATGCCAATACCCCCAAACCAGAGTGAGACATGTACTAAATTTATTTTCTTAATTTGTAACACATAGGCAATATATTCTAAACATCACCTATGTTTTAAGATTTTATTTAATAGGAAGGCTTTTAGCAGATTAAATGTATTTGTGGAAAATTTGGGGATTTTCAAATTAACTTGTGAAGAGTAAAGTATTTAAACGTATAATACTACTGTATTCAATACTACTGTATATCAAGGTTTTTGTATTCATAAAAACTGTTTGATTTTTTTAATAATTGTATTTATTAGTTTTTGTATGTAGGTTGTAATGACAACGTTCCTTTTCTTCCTTTCTTTTTCTTTGTTGTTTAGCCGTATATGTGGGAGTCCTTGTCCTGCAGTGTGGCCTGATGTAATCAAACTGCCATATTTCAACACCATGAAACCAAAGAAGCAATATCGTCGAAAGTTAAGAGAAGAATTTGTTTTGTAAGAAAGGGATGCTTAAATATCCACATGGCATTGATTGTTTATTTTGAAGTCACCTTTTGAGGTTTAAGATTTTTTGTTTTACTTGGTTTTATCTTTTGTTGATATTTGAGGCAGTTTCAGAAGCTGGCCTTGAATTCTCTGTGTAGCTGAGGATGACCTTGAACTCAACTCTTGATTTCTGACTTCCTCACAGGTGCTGAGAATATGGGTGTAACTTAGCACATACAACTCAGAAAGTCATGTCACAGGAATTGTAGGGCTTTTTCTTGTGCATTTCCCTTTGCTGCATGTAAAGGGCCTTTCACCTCATAGTAACTGGGACATTAGGCTTTATTTGTTTACGTAGAAAAACTTTAATAATTGTGTTGTAAATTTTTTTGAAACAGTATTGAGCTCAGATTTTTATTTTAGGAGACTACTCAATTTTTAATGTATGACAGTGCATTGCTCATAGAGTAATAAAAGATGCTGTTTGTTAAGCAGTCCAGAATTGTATAAAAATAACAATAGTTCTTGAAAAGGAAATTGTTACTTGTGTAGAGTACTGCAAACACTATTTAACCAATAGTTCATTAATACTTAACAGATTATTAAATTAGCTTTTAAATATTCATCACCAGCAATTACCTATTTGTTCATGGTATTCTATAAATTATAATAAGAATTTATTAGTTAAAGTAATGAGGATTTTAAAGCTGTAGGTCATCAGAGTAAGGTAGTTGGTATTTAAAATACATTTTAAATTCATTTTCCAATTTAATACCAAATACTTTTCTTTAAAATAAGTGCTCACAGGAGCACAGCCCCGTGTGAAGACTGTGCTTGACTTTTGTGTCCTCTGGTGCTAGTATCCCTGCAGCTGCGCTCGACTTATTTGATTACATGCTTGCCTTGGATCCCAGTAAGCGGTGCACTGCTGAGCAGGCTCTTCAGTGTGAGTTCCTACGAGATGTAGAACCCTCCAAAATGCCTCCACCAGAGTAAGTGACTTTCTTTTATTTTAGATTTTATTTTTAGAGAATCTGGATGGCATTGAAAATTTTGTTAATTAGATGTCAAGATCAGAAGGTATGCCTAAGTTGAGTTAGGTAAACCATCAGAAAAGTATATGATTTGCATATCAAGAATACAAGTGCTTGCTTATTGTTGAGTTTACCATAGAGCAGTAAAAATAGCCCTTAACATTTCTTTAGCTGGTGTAGGATAGTGTTATGTTTCACCTCTAAGAATAAGAACCCCCACTGTGGTAGAGCACATCCACACCAGGACCTTAGCTTCTGAGAGTGGTCCTGCTTTAGCCAAAGCTTTGAGTACTTTGCTAAACTTAATTTTTACAACCCTTTAAGGTAGGTATTATTATTATTACCACTGCTTAACAGAGGAGGAAGCAGGCTCAAAGAGGTTAAAAAACTTGCCCAAGAATACAAATATGGTAAAGGGTGGTGCCAGATCTTAAACTGAAGTCAGTTTAATAAGAAACAGAAGTTCTGAAAATACTCTGTGATATATCCTATACAATAGAAAATCCTTATCATTACCTAAAAGAATGTTAGGGTCAGAAACATGTTTGCAATGAGATAGATCATGGAGAGAAAATGCATAGTTTTGGGGAATTGGCATAGCTAGTTTCTTGAGTCTTCTTATAGATTCTGTATTTTGTGTATGATTGGTTGGGAAGAAGGCAATCCATTTACCTCTCCATGATAGGATCTAAAGTTTTGTAGGTATTTCCTTGGTAATTGTTAACATGATCAGCAACATTAAAAGCATGCCTGTCTCTAATAAAATACTTTTGCATATTATATTAATAAGCATAGGCTTTAGAGTTCAAATCCTGGCTCTTCCACTTACCAGTTATATGGTGTTTATTTCCACAGGGCTTGTCATAAATCATTAGGATTTTATTGAACTATATAAAAATGGCACATGGGATAGTTTGAAAGTTAAAAAGTATCATCTGACATGCAGAAGGACTGAGTCATTCACTAGGTTTTTTGTTTGTTTCTGTTTTTAGTTTTTACTTTTTTATTTTTTTTCACTCAGTGTTTAGTTGTGTAGTACAGGCTGCCCTTGAACTCAAGATCCTCCTGTCTATGCCTATTGAGTGCTAGAATTATATGTGTTTACCACCACACTTAGATCAGATACTTTGAACTAAGTGTTTAGGATTTATTGATTTATTGTTCTTTTGCTTATTTAGAATATATCATTAGTCTCCAAGTGGCTTGTTTCTAGTAACCTATCAGTTTTTTTTTTTCTCTTTTAACTTTTGATTTTTAGTTTTCACCTCTATAGAAATGTAGAATAGGAAAATGAGCGTTCAAATAGATTCAGTAATTACTGGCATGTACACATTTGCTTTACTTTTATAAACTTTTTCTGAAGTAGTTGAATATTAAGTTATTGCATGAATCTATAAAAACAAGAACTTTACATACTACTATTACAAAGCATAAAAATTAGTAATAGTGCATATTAAAGTCTCCAATAGCCCTATAACTTTTCTTTTACTCTATGGAATCATGGTTGAACGATTTGTTCAGAACACACACATATTGTACTTACTTAGCCTGTCTCTTCACTTTTTTGTCACTCTTAGAGGGTTTTGATGACACTGACTACTTTTCTTTTTTTTGGTGGACATCAAACCCAGGGCTTCACATGCCAGGCAAGTGATGCCACTAAACTACATCTTCAGTCCTAACAAGAGCTTAAGGGAACTGTTTGGTAAAACATCCCACAATCTGAATTTGATTGTGTCTCTGTAATCAAGAGTAGATTAATATTTTTCAGTACAAGAATAATATCTACAAGGTAACATGTGTTTCCTGATGGTACCTCAACAGGAATATAATACGATTGTGTCCCATTATTGGTAGTGCAATGCTAATAACTTAATCCACATGAAAGGATTCTAGTAAAACTGTATCAAGCTACGATTTCTTATTGTCAACTAATTTATTAATTAATGGTTCCAATTAAAGACAAATTTATTCATTGTCTGAAAAAAGCAATCACTAATGTTGAGTGAGCCTGGTGGACATGAGATGTCTGCCAAGTTACCACAACTGTTTGTGTGATGTATAATACCAGTTGTGGAAGGAGTTATTTTTACAGATAAAATCCCAACCAGGACCCACAGTTTCCTTTAAATCAGAATAAAAAGAAAGCAGACGAGGAAAAAATAAAAATAAAAAACCTGTATCAAGCTTATTTGGAGTTAATAAACTTCTCAAACCAAGTTAATAAGTTGTAAAAATGTAATAGTGAATTTTTAATTAACATTTTTAAGTATTGCAGTTACATTAATCTTATAAATGTATCCTTTGGGGTCTATATATCGAGGCCTTCCAGATTGTATGAATAGTCACTTAGAAAATGTTCAGCATTTGGACATTGTTCTGTTTTGATCTTGAACTTCCATTATTTCTTACACTTTTATTCTAATGTAACTAATATTAATTATGGCGTCGAATTAATTTAAAACAAGTCTATGTATATAAATGGACTAACCATTTCTTATGATAATGTACCACATATGCATATTAATATATGATATTTGATGTTGTATTAGTAGTAAACATTTCAGTGTTTTAAAACCATCATTGAATTTTGTTGGAAATTCAGTCTATTAGAAGTGATTGAAGCTTGGTGGTGGCACACGTCTTTAATCCCATCACTCAGAATGCAGAGGCAGGTGGATCTCTGTGAGATCAGAACCATCCTGGTCTACAGAGTGAGTTTCAGGACAGGCTTCAAAGGTACACAGAGAAACCTTATAAAGTGATCAAGCTGAGCTCTTTTCCTATTAGTAATTCACATAGTAGTTTACATATCTCTGAATCAGTGCTATTTACCGTAGAATGAGACGTGGTTCCACATTAATTATAATTTCCTTTTTATTTTCATGAGTATCCTTGCAATTTTTTTTTTTTTTTTTAAATCTCTGGCAGTGGTGGCACATGCCTTTAGTCCCAGCACTCAGGAGGCAGAAGCAGGTGGATTTCTGTGAGTTTGAGGTCAGCCTGGTCTGCAGAGTGAGTTCTAGGATAATAGCCAGGGTGGTCTGTCTCAAAACAAAACAAAACAAAACAAAAACCTTTTATTTATTTTTTAAATGAGCTCAGGGGCTGAAGCAGTTGCTCAGTGGTTAAGATTATTCTTTGCGGAAGACCTGGGTTTGATTTCCAGCACCCAGAGTGTTCACTATCATAGAAACTCCAGGTCTAGGGGATACAATGCCCTCTTCTGACTCTTGTGGACAGCATGTACTACACGTATGTTGCACAGACTTATTTGCAAGTAAACATACTCACACACATGTAAAAGAATGAATGAAAGAAAGAAAGAAAGAAAGAAAGAAAGAAAGAAAGAAAGAAAGAAAGAAAGAAAGAAATCATTAGAAAAACCTTTTCCCTGACAGTGAGGAAATCATGTGATCTTAAAGCTTATTTAGACATTTGTCATTAATTTTTTTTAACTGGCTCTACCAGTATAAGTTCTATGATATCATATACTTTTGGTGTTTTGTTTTGTTACACACTCTAATTCTTGTTAACCGCCCAGTAACTCAAACTTAATTTTTATCAGAGTACACTTTACTGTATGTTTCCATTAAAAAGTAAAGATAGCTTTTGATGGGTATTCTATTAAAAAGTAAAGTTATCAGTACAATTGATGGGTATTCTGTGAAACTGTTATGTAATGCATGCACTTAGTTATATCACTGAAGCAGTAAGGCCAAGGTTTTAATTGCACTGATTCTGTATTTAAATAAAAGGTAATGTAAACAACATGTAACTATATTTTATAATGTATAAGAAAAACTATGAAGTAGGTAGGGTGGTATGCCTTTGAAAACTAAGGGTATATAGCTAACTTTTTAAAACAATAGTCAAATTGTTGAAACATTTTGATTATTTTTTTAAAAAGTAAATAAATAAAAGTATTAAATAGGAAATAATTTCACTGTAACAGGATAAATAAAAGCCCAGAGACTGACATTGGGGTTCAAGCTTCAAGCTGAAGGTCAGAGAAGCAAAGCAGCCAAGCCAGTAGATCTTACCTTTACCTAGCTGAAATGGTAATAGTGTCCCCAGGGAATCCTCAGAGGCAAAAGGATCTGTATTCCTGTCCCCTCCTGCTTATATTCCTTTCTTCACCCACCATATCCTGCTGTCTCCAAGTCCCTAGTGCTGGGATTAAAGGCATGTGATCCCAAGTGCTGGGATCATCTTTGGGTGAGCGGGTTTTTTTTTTTTGGGGTGGTTTTTTTTTTTTTTTAGGACTGGATCAATTTCATGTAGTCAGCATGGCCTTGATCTAACAGAGATCCATCTACCTCTTACTCCTGAGTCCTGGGATTAAAGGTGTGTGCCTGGCTTCTATGCCTAATTAGTATGGCTGCTTTGTTACTTTGATCACCACGTTCCATTAATTTCTAGTAGATGCTGTGTCAACTTTTCTCATGTCTTTGTAACTTTAAAAAGTTTACATAGTAGGCAGTGATGGCATACACATTTTAATCCCAGCCCTCGGGAGGCATAGGCAGATGGATCTCTAAATTTGAGGCCAGCCTGGTCTACAAAGTGAGTTCCACACAGCCGGAGCTGTTACACGGAGAAACCTTATCTCGAAAAACAAATAAAACAAAAAAGGTATATATAACTATGTAACTAAAAATTACATTAGGTGGCTGCTACTAAAAATTACATTAGGTGGCTGCTAGCCCGTACCTTATTAAAAATATAAAAAGCACTTGAACAATATGACCATATAATTAAAGTAAATAATTCATGATATGTCTTGATAATAACTACTTTTAGACAACTGAATAATGATCAGTGATATCAATCACAAATGTAGTGCATACTGTATGAGAGGCTTTGTCTAAGGATGCCCTTGATAGACATTAACATATTACTTCTATCCCCAGGAAATAGGTAATATTGTTAATCTCATTTTAAAAGAAAAACTGAGATACATAGGTCCAGCAACTTGCCTGAAAAGATAGCAAATAAGTGGCTGAGCCAGCATTTGAACCTTCAAGGAAGCACATACTTTTGGTTATGTGGAGAACATGCCTGATTTGTTTAGAGAATCAGAATCAGTGTCATTAATCTGCCATTTTAAATTATTGTAAAGTTATGTTTATATTTCATAGAGATGAGTGTTAAAGTAATTCATAATGAATCTCTTTAAATTGTGGGAGGGAACAAATTCTTTTCCTGGATTTCTTTGCTTTTCCACAAGAGTATTGTATTTCTTGGCTGTCACAATGGAGGAGGTGTAATGATTTTATTTACCCTAACCTGTAGTACTATAGTATATTTGAAATCAGCATCCCAACAGAGGCTAAAGCCCACATCATAAAGCACAAACCCATTCCCAGAAAGGAAAGTCTTTTAGAGGGTTTTTGATGCCTTAAAGCTTCCCAGTGTCAACCTTTCCAATTGTCCCTTTGTTTGTTATCCAGGAGGTTTTTGCACGCTGAGGCAATGCACCATAGTAAGATGGCTGAGAGGTATGCCTTCGTTTTGTTTTCAGACCTCAGGTGCACAGACTTGGTTTAATCATGATTCTTGTGTCACTCATCATTGGTCCATGCATGGCTCTCTTTTATTTATTTTAGTTACTTTAATTAGTTATTTTAAATGTTAATAAGCAGCCATGAGCCTACCAAGCAAAAGCTAGAACCTTGAAAATAACCCACTTTAATCATATCATAACCCCTCCTCCTACCCACGTGTTTCCTTGCCCTCTTCTTCCTGAGGTGACCATCATTCCTGTTTCCTTATTCTTGTATATACTTTCTGTTGCCATCTGTATGTATTCATAAAAAAATTACATTGAAAAAATGTAGTTGTTTTTCATTTTATACAAAGGTGTCATGCTGTTTTGTAATCCTGTGGAAATGACATTTTTTATTAATATTATATTGCTAAGATTCAACCATTCTGTTGCATATGCCTTTATTTTATAATATGAGAAAGTAATTGTGGAAGAATTTACTTGAGCATTCAGGGCATTCTTCTAGCTCAGTCTTTGAGAAGAGTCTATCTATATGGAAGTGAAGTCCCTTAAACAACCTCAGGTACACTCTTGGAAAGACCTTGTTTACCTCTTGAGGTAAACATCAAGTTGAGAACAGCAGGTATATACCAGTAGAATGGCATTGCTTAAAAGAATCTAGATATTCTGGGCAAGTTTATTAACCTTTCCAAGCCGTAGTTTTCTCACCTTTAAGCTAGAGAAAAGTAATAGTAAGTCTCCATGGGCTTTGTAACTGGGATTAAAAAAAACCTGTAAATCAAAATTTGTCTTTCTTTAAGAAAAAGTTATTTTCTAGTGTTCAGTGTTATAGAATTATCTTATGAAAAATATTCTAGAATTAGGGGTAATTTTGGTAGTTACAAATCACATGGAGCTCGGTAGATGAGTAATGAGCCTCTCTGTGTCTGAATTCCCTATTCTTGAGACTCAGCTGTAAAATCAGTTTATTTCAAAAGCAATTGGTAACAGTAGATATGTGACTAAAAAGTGAAAAGATTTTACTAAGTTTTGTACGAATCTTATGTTCCAGCCTTTACTCCTTTTTATGTCTGGCTTCTCCAAATAGCGTGTTTCTGCATCCTTTTTCAAATCCTTTTCAGTGTACAGTGTGTTGTTAGTATTGGTTATAAAAGGTTGTATGAAGGATAATAGCCAGATTTTCTTAATATGCATTCTTTATAATTTTGATGAACAGTTATTTATTGATTGTTCAGAAGACAAAAGTAGTTCATTTCTACAACAGGGCACTTGTGTGTATGAATGCACAGCAGCTGTGACTGTATGCATTAGGCCCACGGGATCAAGTCAGACAGAATCCCAGTGTGGAGGGAGGGAGTGGGTCAAGAAGGCCACTCTCACCGAAGAGATATTGGCAATTAATGGCTGCTGTTAAAGGAAGAGTCCCTATTTTCTTCAGGACTGTGACCCCTTTAGAGTTTACCCCTGTTCCAGCAGGTAGCCCTTTATCCATGCACATACTGGCATCACTAAGACTTAGTGAGTTTTGAGAGAGAGAAAAAGAGACTAGAGGTTTAGGGGAGATAGGGAAAGAACTTGAGGGGAGGGAATGTGGGATGTACTTAAACACATTATATGAATGTTTAAAATTTTAAACAAAAAATTAGGACAAATAAAAAGAAAATATTAGACCATTACAAAAGTTAAAACTCTAAAGTGTGATGGAATTTTACTAAATGTATGCATGTATGTATGTGTGTGTGTGTGTGTGTGTATGTATGTATGTATGTATGTATGTATGTATGTATGTATGTTCTGTATGAAGTCTTCTAGAATGGTTTGCGGAAGGAGAATGGTTTTAGTGGTACATTGTAACATCACCATGTCTTGTTATGACATTTGTCATTTAGTATTCATTTGTCTTTTTCAGTCTTCCTTTGTGGCAAGATTGTCATGAATTATGGAGTAAAAAGCGAAGAAGGCAGAAGCAGATGGGCATGACTGATGATCTTTCCACAATCAAAGCTCCCAGAAAGGACCTGTCTCTAGGCTTAGATGACAGCAGAACTAATACACCCCAGGGTGTGCTGCCACCCGCACAATTGAAATCTCAAAGCAACTCAAGTCTAGCACCTGGTCAGTAATGTTTCTGTGGCTTGTTTGGTTTACATTGCTTTATGGTCTGTGTTGAATGTGTACTGTTAAGACATTATGGCAGAAAGGTGAACATTGAGATTGAGACTTTTTTGGTGAACTTGGCATTACTCTTTAGTTTTAGCACAAAGGTTTCATTGCTACTCACACTACATGGTTAAGCAGTCTCGAGTCATGTATTTGTAATGATTGGTCAGATTTCTTTTTCCTTGTTTCCCTAGTTCAGGAGTCAGTATGCCTTTCATTAACACTAATCTGTGAGGCTGGCATTCATTCATTCATTCATTCATTCATTCATTCATTCGTGTTTTTCAGGCAGGGTTTCTTGGTAGCTTTGCCACCTGTCCTGGCACTTACTCTCTAGACCAGGCTGGCCTTGAGCTCATAGAGATCTGCCTGTCTCTGCCTCTCAAGTGCTGGGATTAAAGGCTTGTGATACCACTACCTGGCTTAGTGATTTCTATCAATTGTTAAGGCATAGAAATCATAGGAAGACAGCCAAAACTGCAATAAAAGTTCTTTATCCCATAACTCTTTATGCCAGTCTCCTGAGTTCTGCCTGCACATTAGGGCCCCCAAATAACACACAGAGTCTTATGTTGGTTACAATGCTGCTGGCCAATGACTAGGATTTTGTATTTTCTAGTTCAGTCTTAATTATCAACCATAACTACTAATCTATATATTTTATAAAGACATCTTACTGAGCATGCTGGTGGTATGCGTCCTCTCTTGCCGCCAATCACATGACGACCCCGTCTTTACTACATTTCCCAGAATCCTTGACTCCTAGCCCCACCTATCTTGCTTTCCTATTGGCCAACAGTGCTTTATTTATCAACCAATAAGACAAACATATGCACAGAAGGACTTCCCCATCAGATGTCTTTACATCATCATTACTAAGAAGCTGTATTTTAAAAGATTGGAACCAGCTACTTAAAAGGATACTTTATACCCATTTCATTCATTCATTCATTCATTCATTCATTCATTCATTTTTATCTGTTTATTTATTGGTAGGGTTTCATTGTGTAGCCCTGGCTATCATGGTACTTTTGTAACCAGGGTGGTCTCAGACTTATGAAGTTCCCATCCATTTCTGCCTCCCAGTGACTAGGTTAAAGATGTGTGCTAACATGCTTGGCTAGTTGACAGCTTTTAAAACATGAAATCTGGTTTCCCTCAAGAACCCAGGAATCTGTCAGTTCTAGACTGAATATTGGGCAAAGTAAATTAACTAGATGTGTCTTACTGATAATGAGTTAATATGCAATATGTGTGTTTGTGTAGGCCTTTCTAACCCCAAATGTCTTAACTTTTTAAAGGTAATTTGAATAAAAATAGAGATTTTTCTCATGGTCTATAAAATATTTTAGTCTTAATTTCTACAAAGTTAACTTCACTTTTGAGAAGCAGTATAGCATAATAAAGAATTCAGAGACTGTATTCAGAATTAAATTTCATAATTCAGGACCTTTGGCAAATTATCCACTCTTTTAGGCTGAGAATAGGCACTCCTTATAAAGTAGTTGTGAGAGATAAAGACGATCAAAATGATTATGAAGTATCTGACACTGTTGTCATCATTTTAACCCACAAGGTGATAGTTCCTAATAAAATCTGTGCATGTGGTCTTGATTTATCTCTTTTGAAATGTATACTTCTAAAGATGGTTACTCAGATTGTAGTTTTAATTTATGTTCTAGTTAGATTTTGAATGTCATGATGAATAAACTAAAGTGCCCTTTTCTGAGCCCTTTTCCTCATATGTAATCTTAATGTAGTGTAATGAAGACATTGTGGGGATTGGGAAATCTATGAATTATGGCAGTTCTAATTAATACATTTTGTCTTTAGTAATAACAGGCCCTGGACAGCCGTTAAACCACAGTGAATTGGCAATTCTTCTAAACCTACTACAATCTAAATCAAGTGTTAATATGGCTGATTTTGTTCAAGTGTTGAACATTAAGGTAAACTCTGAGACTCAACAGCAGCTAAATAAAATAAACCTTCCTGCTGGAATTTTGGCAACAGGTGAAAAACAGACAGATCCATCAACACCACAACAGGAGTCTTCAAAATCATTGGGAGGAATTCAGCCTTCACAGACCATCCAGCCTAAAGTGGAAGCTGATGCCGCCCAGGCTGCTGTGCAGAGTGCATTTGCAGTTCTCTTGACTCAGTTAATAAAGGCTCAACAGTCAAAACAGAAAGATGTCATGTTAGAAGAGAGAGAAAATGGATCGGGACATGAAGCTCCTTTGCAACTCAGGCCACCTCCAGAACCTAGCACTCCGGGATCTGGTGAGTGGTTGGCTAATAGTTGTTGCTATCTATGGCGTTCACTGTTCACAGTTTGTAAAGACATTCTCAGGTCATTGGTGACAGTATGATATTTTCATTATGAATATTATATTTTTCTAAGGTAAATTTACAATAATGCTTTGTTCTGAATACAAAAGGATGCTTGACCCATGTAGTAACTTACTCCTCAAGCATTAAGTATGATCATGTGGAATACCTTTAAAAAGCTGAATAGTGTATTTCTTTGTGACCTTGTATTTAAGTGGAGGTAGGCAACATGGGCACTTGGGAGGTCTCCTTTTGCATTTAATGTTTGTCAGAGATGGAATGTCTTATCATTCTTGGGACCACTCATTTTGAGTATTTAATTTTCCACAGTAGCTTTTGACTCTTTCTTGGTTTTGTTTCACTTAGGGCAAGATGACCTCATCCAGCACCAGGACAGGAGGATTTTGGAGCTGACACCAGAACCAGACCGGCCTCGGATTCTGCCTCCTGATCAACGACCTCCTGAACCTCCTGAACCACCACCAGTCACTGATGAGGACCTGGATTATCGGACAGAAAACCAGCATGTACCCACCACTAGTTCTTCACTAACTGACCCTCATGCTGGAGTGAAGGCAGCCCTCTTACAGCTGCTTGCTCAGCATCAGCCCCAGGATGATCCCAAAAGAGAAGGTGGTATTGATTATCCCACAGGAGACACATATGTTCCCACTTCAGACTATAAGGACAACTTTGGATCTTCTTTCTCTGCCGCTCCGTATGTTAGCAGTGATGGTCTAGGAAGTAGCTCTGCTGCTGCTCCGTTGGAACCACGTAGTTTCATTGGAAACTCAGATATTCAGTCTTTGGAGAACTACAGTACTGCTTCATCTCACAGTGGTGGTCCACCTCAAGCTTCTGCCTTTTCCGAGTCATTTCCCAGTTCAGTAGCTGGGTATGGAGACATTTACCTCAATGCTGGTCCCATGTTGTTTAGTGGAGACAAGGACCATAGATTTGAATATAGCCATGGTCCTATCGCAGTCCTCACAAACAGCAACGACCCTTCTACAGGGCCAGAGAGTACTCACCCCTTGCCAGCAAAGATGCACAACTATAACTATGGTGGTAATTTACAGGAAAATCCAGGCGGCCCTAGCCTCATGCATGGGCAGACCTGGACTTCTCCTGCCCAAGGACCTGGATACTCACAAGGATACAGAGGACACATTAGCACATCAGCTGGCAGAGGTCGAGGTAGAGGGTTACCATACTGAGTATCTGTTTTTCCTCAGGCACATCATTTTTATCTGGAAAGACTTTTCTAGCTGCAATTTCAGGCAGCAATCCAAGAGACTTGAATAATATTAATTCAACAACAGCTTTATTTTTATGTGGAAAAGGGTCTTGCATACAATAGTGAAAAACAAAAAAACAAACAAAAAATACCTTTGCTTAAATTCATGCTGTTCTTAAAACTAGCTCTATTGATTGTACATCGTCACAGATTTTAGTTAACAGTTTTATTTTGTATTATTGCAGTTTTAAGTGGATGCTAACATTAGGGACATAATGTTTTTGTGGCCCTGTTGCAGATCTTCTGAACTATGCACACTTGTGCTTTTTTTTTGTAAGTTTGGACCAACTTTTATGTAACAACCAACCCCTTCCCTCACCCTTCCAGTTTTACAACAATCAGAAAGGGCACTGATTTATTTGGTATTTTCTTTTTACAAAGCTACCTTTAGTCAAAGGTCACTGTCAGTCTTTGCACCTGCTTTCAGTGTTATTGTGAAAGGTGTACTTTGTGCTCATTTCAGAAAATAAAACACAACCTTTCTCTTGATGCAACAGTTTTATATAAAAAAAAAATGGTCAACATTATTTTTGTTTTGTTTTTCAGGTTACCATAACCCAGCAAAATTCATTCAAATGAAATAGTGGTTTTTATATGAAAACTATGGGTTGGGTGGGAGGGGTTGAGTAAGTGCCTTAACTGGTAAGCTTAAGGACTGAGGATGAAGTTAGCCGGTACACCCACTTGTCTTTAAAGGGAGTCTGCATTGTGTTGAAGAGGCAGGAAGCTCTCAGTTTTTAGGAGTCACCTGGCCAGTTCTGTTAGGTCCATTCCCTCTGCCTGTCATACTGTCCTTTTCTGCCTGTCTTTTGGCTGTGTTAACTTTTACTGTTACCTTCTCTTGGTAGGGGTGTAAGAGAAAAGAAAGGGAGAACTCAGTACCTTTTGTTACTTCTGGGAAGTACTAATTTTTTTTTTTTTAATCACTTAAGTGGTTGAAAATAATAGCTGAATGAGAATTTTAGAGTGCTGTTTTCTTTCTGGCTGCCATACTGACCCAGTTTCTACTTGGAGGACAGAATTTTTGAAGCAAGTATGTAATAACAATTAATGTAATAAATGTAAAATTCACAGAAGGAGGGTGGCAAACATGGTATTTTAAGTTATGTAATTATTTTTAAAAGTCAACTTAAGTAGAAACATATCCTAGATTTAATTTAGTAAAACAAAAAGAAAATTCAGGAAAAAAAAAAAAAAACCTTCCCTCTTCCTTTCAATTTTGTGAAATTTACTGTAACTTTTGCCAGATTAGAGCAGTGCTACTACTAGGTTGTTTTAATATCTTTTTTCTTCTATTAAAATCAACCAAGAAAGAATAACTGTAATGTTGTCAAGTCTCACTGTGTTTTACATTCACACACATACACAAAATTATATTTCTAGAAAGGAACCAAAGGTAAATAACCAGCATCTCCCTCATCACTAACAGACTTAGAAACTCTGGGAAATTGAGTGTGCCAATTGACAATTTTAACTGTTCTAGTACATTTTTAATTGAAATCTTAAATAGGAAAAATAGTTATGAAAGGCCAGTTTAACCTTGTGCCCTTTATCTGATTTGTTACCCTGCATTTAAAAACATGATTCAGGAAACAGGATATTTTAAAGAAGGTAATTTTCACTTTATGCCTATAAAATGAATTTTCAGTTGACCATTTTATTTTTTGGTGGTATTATTTTTGTTGGTGTAACAAAATTAATGGAAGAAAAAGTATTTTCCTTTCATTTGAATATTGAGTACTAACAAATTAGTAAAACATTAGAGGAAGTGAAATGTTTTGAAGTTTAGCAAAATAGAGTATTCAAGTCTCTGAAATTTTAATATGGTGAGTCTTAGACCTTCAGACTTTACTATAAGTGACAGTATCTAAATTATTCTTTTTTGTCACACATGATAATACTTCTGCTGGCCATAAGCAGCTAACCTAAAATTGGAACTATTTATGTGACATGAATAGCCTGTGTTTTAAAAATTAAATATTTTATATAAAATTGACCTGTGTTTGGATAGTTTTTCTAATTAAGCATTTCAGAAATATATTCATGTTGGGAGAGTGGCTGGGAAGACAGGGAAATTGTTGGCTTTGAAATAGAAAATTAGAACTATCCCTTGTAATAACCTATATTTTCTTAGACAATGTAACAATACCTTATGCATGTAGAAGAAAAGGGAATATCACTTAAACCATAATGCAGTGCTGTGGGGCCAGTATTTGCAGGATAATCCCAGAACCAGGGTATTACATGAAAAAATGTCTTAAAACATGGTTAAGTACATCAGTAAAGTGTTAATACAGCGATGCGAGACAGTAGTTCAGTGAGTTTGGAATAAGAACAGATGGAAAATCACTAAATTATTTAGGTTATATTCTATATTCTGGAGTAAAATTTAAATTAATAAAATACTAAGTTAGGGCATAGAAACAAGTAAGACTGCATTTAGAAAATGAACATAAAAACATTAACTTATGGAAAAAACAGTTTTCCTGTGAAGTTTATATGTCTTGACATGAATTTTTCCTGCATGGAAACATCAGTATGTCCCAAGTCTTCAATCTTTATCTGTTGGAAAATTGAAAATGAAAGTAATTTTAGAGAGTTCGTTGACTAAGGTGGTTTGTGGAATGTGAAATAATGTGATGGTTTAACTGATCCTGCTTCTGTTAGCAAATACATACTCTGTGACTGTCTATGCTAGTTGCTAGTCTAGTTCTTGGGATACAATCGTAATCTTGGAGGAGATTTAATCATACATCAGTGAGGCTGAGTTTCTTGTTTGTTAATGTCTGGAGAAACTAGGTGTTTGAATAAATTATGCTTGAGTGATTATAAAATGGAAATTTGGATAAAATTTTATATTTAAATTTGAATGGCGAAACAAGGCTCTGTAAGGAAGCAAAGCTACAAATTCAGTGAAGTAAACAAAAGTTTAACTTGAATCTGGCTAGTTTATAAATGCCGAGAGTTGAGGAAAACACACATGGTGTGGGTTATATGCTTCTGAACTGAAATGGTTGGCACTTGATTGTGAAGGTTTTGTTGAATTTGCTATGAGCTCACTCTAGGTTGCTTGTGTGAAGTTGGAACTTAAATGCAGGATTTGAATACTACATGTTTGGGATGCTGGCTTTGCTCTTTTAAGCTGAACTAGACCTGCTAATAGTCCAATATGGAGTGATTCATCTCCACAGTACAAAGAAAAGGCTTAGAAAAGAGATTACCCTGGTTTAGCTGGGATTGCTATTGTGATCCCTCTACACCTACACCACATCCAATTTTGCAGTAAATACTTTTTTATTTCATTACCTTTTCTTGGCAGTCTCACATAGCTCTAGCTGGCTTTGAACTCACTATGTAGTTAAGACTAGCTTTGAGCTCCTGATTCTTCTGCCTCTACCCACCAACTATTAGTATTATAGGTACCTGCTACCATGCCTAAGCAATACCAGCTTCTTACTGGGGAAACTTAATAAGTAACTTGGTAAGTATTAGACTAGAAGAATAATTAAACCAAATTATTAATAATAATCTAATAACTGTATAAGGCTGGGGCTAAGGCTCAGTGAAAGTTTGCCTAGCAAGCACACAGCCAGGTTTAATGCCCAGCACACACAAAAACTCCTAAAAACTTGATACTGCCAAGTAGTGGCACATGTCTGTATCCTGACACTTGGGAAGCAAAGGCAAGAAACTGGTCTTATTGAGTTGGAGGCCAGCCAGAGGTACAGTGATATCAGTCTCAAAAAACAAAAAACAGAAACAAAAGCCCGTTTTCTTTGACTATAGAAAATTAGAAGTTGCTAGCAGATGTATTTCATGTTTGCAGTTACTGGAAGGCTCCTGGATATTTTCTATTGGCTGCTTGCATGAATTCTGAGACCAAATCATTAACAATGTATTTCCTATTTGCATAGCAGTGTTAGTGTCAGGCTTACAAACATTTTGCAAGTAAATCTTGTAATGGTTCTATTAATTAAATCATTTTATAAGCCCTCCATTTGCCAAAGAGCTTCTCCAAATGATTTTCTTAAATTTTTATTAGTAGAAGTTACTAATAATAAGCTTTGAATGATCAGCAGAAGATGGAAGAAACAAAATTTTCATCACAGTGAAAGGACAGACTGTAGTTCTTGACTCATCAGAATTTTCTGTTGCTGATTTTATTAAAATGAATCCTCAATCCTCCACATTGTTTTGTTGTAGTTATTCTTTTGCAAGAGTTTTGTAATGTCTCATAGTTAAGTTTAATGTATAAGCCATTTGTTTCTAAAAGGGAAAAAGAAAGCTTGTATTTGATAGTCTTCTAAATAAACTTCCACAAGAATTCCAGGCTATTCTTTAAAGCCTTGTTTTCTTTTTGTATATATTCAAAACACTCTAGAAAAGACTTCTGATTTAGTGTGCCGTGGTGTGTTTTTTTCTTTTTTCTTTCTTTTTTTGGGGGGGTGGGGGTAGTGGAGAGAATGGTTGTTGTTGGACAAAGCTCAGCACCTGAGACATACTTAGTACTTCCCACTTTCATATAGTTGTCTTTCATATAGTTGTCTTTCATATAGTTGCAAAGAGAGGGTTCTTTGGTTTGTCAGATGATAATCTTTTAAAATTATGTTTCTTTAAATACTAGTGAACTTTATTTGGTAGTCTGGCTTGTCTATAAAGTTTTGTTTTAGTGAGGCAAGGATACAGTTTTATGTCTTCTCTGGAACATATACTTGGTTATACCAACAGCTTCTGCTGACCAGTTTGTTCTACTCCTAGTCTTTGTGTTTTCAATGTCTGACTGACTTGAGTTTAATCCTGAGGTCTCTGTGGTATTCTATCCCCATCTTTGTGTCCTGTTTAAATGTGTGTTTGTGTTTTGTTTTAGTGAGGATTGAATTCAGAACCCTGCACGTAGTTATTGTGTTGTGGTTTTTATTTCCACTTCTTAGCAAAATGCACAGCCTATATGGATAATTTGTTATAGGATAGAGCTCCAGTACTTTTTTAGCTAGGGATATAGCTCATCCTAGCATGTCCAAAGCCTCAGGTTTGATCCCTAGCACTGCCATAAAATGCATGCGGTACTGCACAACTATAATCTTAAGTGTTTGTGAGGGGGAGGTAGGTGGTCATCCAGCAACACTGCTGTTCTGGGCTACATGAAGACCCTGTATTGAAAAACAAGCGAGCTGAACTTGTCTCTTAGAATCATTTTACCCATTACCCATTTTAGTTGAAAATACATTTAGTCAGATTTTGCTTAGGGGAGCTTGCAATTTCAAACATAGTATTTTGTTTTGTTCCCCTTGTAAGGTCCACATTTTTGTTGTTCAATAAACTGGGTTTTTTTTTTTTTTTCTTTTGCAGATTGTATTTTGTTGCTTTTACAGAGACTTCTCTTAAGTATTGTAAATTTTTAAAGATTTGTTTTTATTTTCTAGCTTGGCTTGTGGGTATCTGCACATGAGTGCAGGTGCCAAGGCAGCCAGCCACTAGATCCCTGAACTAGAGTTGCAGGCAGTTGTGACCCTTTCAGCCATGTTCCAATTGTTGAGAATAGAAATGGGTTCTCTAAAAGAGCAGTACTTGTTTATAACTACTGATCCATCTCTCCAGCCTCAGTATTATAATATTTTAAGCTTTTGTCTTTATAAAGTTAATTTTTTTTTTTTTTTTGAGACATGGTTTCTCTGTAGCTTTGGAGGCTGTTCTGGAACTAGCTCTTGTAGACCAAACTGGTCTCAAACTCACAGAGATCTGCCTGCTTCTGCCTCCCGAGTGCTGGGATTAAAGGTGTGCGCCACCAATGCCCAGCAGTTAATTAAAAATAAAAATCTGGCCATATTGCTTTGCTATTATTTTTAATAAGTTTTGAGTTGACTGATTTATCCTTTCTGATTTTATGAATTTCTTTAACTTTTAGAGTTTGGGCCTTTATGCATAAACAAATAGATTAGGGATGGGTTACTTCATAATGGGTTCTTTTCCATTACTAAGGCATGTTTATTAGGATCAGGTTTTTAACGGTGATGTTTATATAGGTTTTCTCCTTTAAGACACCACCCTGTGCTGACGATGGACACCAGTTAATAGAATCTAAATTAAGCCATCCATTTAAAAATTGAATATTGCTGTGTACTATTGACTAGGTATTTAAGATTCTGTACCTGTGTTAGGCAGGCATTGATCATCATGTAGTGACACAATGGCAGAATAAGCTGTAATGCTGCTGTCTTTTTTTAGAGTGTGTCGTAAGAATTAACTGTTGACTAAAGAAGTTAAAGATGTTTTATTTCTAACTTGATAATCCTGGCTCTTTTGAAGGTAATTCTTTTAGTTTTCTTCTTTCCATTTATATTTTCCATCCGGGCAAGGTTCTGTTTTTAACATAAATCTTGGAAACATTTCGTTTTCTGAACATTTATATATTCTGCAATGTTTGAATGAACAGTTCCCATGCAGGTGAACATAATAACTGTTTGTTTTAAACATACTAAATTCCTCTTTGGTGTGTGTGTGGGGGGAGATAGCAGGTCTAGTCTTCTTGTTCTTTTGACATGGACTCTGTAAGTTGTGTTGCCCAGACTGGTCTAGAACCTGTGAACTCTAGTGACCCTCACTTAGTCCCAGGTGAGCTGGGACTCCTTGTCATTTTACCCAGCATTTTGTTTTTCTTGATTTTTTTTTTTTTTGCCTCTTTACTTCCATTCTCACTATTCATATGTAGTTTACTTTCTAATTTATTCCACTATTTGACTTTGTTACTTTAATTTTTTTTTCTTTTGCTTTGTTAGTTGAATACTAATTTTCTTCAAATTTTGAAAGGGGGCATTTTCAAGTTAGGAAACTGATTATTTCTTTGACTTGGTCTTACAGTTTAAAATTATTATATTTTCAAAAACACTGACAAGATGTCCTGTATTCTTATTTTTCACTTGTCTTATATATCATTCATATATATTATTCAGCACATAAATGTTCACGGTATTTATTTACATTTTAACATGAATTCTA